ATCACTCTCCAGTCAACCATATCACAGGTAATCATATTCAGGTTAATCAATTGAGTGATAATGTGAAGGAATTAATGGAGTTAAACAAGGTTATAAGAGATGATTCCATACCACATAATTGTCCATTGTATCCTTTTATTGGATGGAGAATCTGGAAAATGCGAAATAAACTAGTTTTTGAAGGAAGGTGGGAGTTAATACCAATTACCATTAATAGAGCAATAGTTGATTATAAGCAGTAGATAGAGGCTCTAAAAGGAGAGAATGATCAGGAAAAGCATCTAAGTATTCAAGATCGTAGGGCATATAAACCAAAAACAATGACAGAGGTGATTGGAGATGCTAACAGTTGTTGTTGTTTTGTGGATAGTTCTTGGGTGTCAACAGCTGAGAGGGCTGGTATGGGATGGATACTTTTAGGCCAGAGAGGTGAGAATATCATGAAGGGTTCAACCTCAACAGAACCGATTGCAAGTCCTTTAGAAGCATAAACTTTTGCCATCAGAGATACTGTTCAGCAAGTTATAAGGCATGGGTATCAAAATGTTTCCTTCTTTGGTGATTCAAAGGTATTATATGATACCCTAAGGAAATGTTTGAAGCGAGAGCAAGGAGGAAGAAATCAAGAAATCTTACGTTATTGTGAAGATATCACAAGGTTAGTTAAAGAAGAGCATGGTTTCCTAAAATGACGTGTTTCTTAAAATTAAATTAAATGACGTATTTCCTAAAATGCTCTTTGATCGACACATACTTTTTTTTTACTTATATCTTCTCAATTAATATAAGATACAATAAAATACAAGGCGATTTTCTAGGATTTCTCGCTTTCATTCTACTCACGCAAGGTATCCGGCCTCCAGCCGGTCATGGGGACGTCTTCTCCGGAGGGGTCGCCGTCTCTAATCAACCAAGTCCCGTTCACAAGTCAAGAGTCTCCGGCCAATCAGTTACCGAAAGGTCCTTTGACTTCATTAATTTCTGGAAAAGTTGTACCAAACTCAAGCTATGCTACTGAAGTGGAAATCATAAATGATATGGCTAAGGTCAATATCCCGGATGAGGTTCGCAAACTCTCCCAGCCGTTGTGGACAAGTTATATGGTAGGGCACTTCATAGGGGAGGCTCCCCACATTGGCAAGGTTCACGCAACAGTTAATAAGATATGGACTTCTGGAAGTAGAGTCTCGAAAATTGATGCGCAGTTCTTAAATCCAAAAACGGTCATGTATCGTATTGAAGATTCAATGATGAGGCAAACGGTGCTTCAACGCCACTTTTGGCACATAGGAGAAATTCCTTTGGTGGTGCAAGAGTGGAATCCAAAAGCTACTAATCTTAAGCCAGATCTTTCTGCAATGCCTATTTGGGTAGATTTTACGGGGGGTCCCAGATCACTTATTCTCTGAAGTGGGATTGAAGTTTTTAGGAGATGTCATTGGGATCTCACAAAAGCTTCATCCTAATACTCTCAGATGTGTTAGGTTGGATGTAGCGCGCGTTCTAGTTGTTGTGAATCTGGAGAATCCACTACTGAACGTGATATCGCTGAATGACGAGGAAGAAACTTTGGTTAAGGTCTCGTACCCGTGGCTCCCATCCAGATGTTTAACTTGTAACACATGGGGCCACAATGATGTAGAGTGTGGGCGGATGAAGAAAGGGGCAATGGTAGTACCAGAACAGAACGGCTTGGGAAATAGCCCAAGGGTCAGTAGTCCTACAAAGGTTTTGTCAAGCCAAGATAGCTTGGGAGCTCTTACAGACTCGGCAAGTAACAGACAGAGGGCGGAAGTGAAAGGGCAGTTGGTTGAAAGAGAAGCTCAAGTCGAGGGACAAGGCTTAAGCGATGAAACAGAGCAAGAGTGGACTTGTGTTAGAAAAGGAGGAAACAAATCGCCTCAAAAGAAGATTGATGAGGTGGGTATGAGGCAAATAGCAGCTGCAAAGACCATCAACGAGTCGGAAACGACCTCACCATCAAGATTTAATGTACTTGCTAAAATTTCTGAGGAGGAGGAAGACAAAGAAGATGGGGAAATTGGGGTTGAGGAAACGGCCAAAGAGGAGGAAAATCATTTAGTTTCATCAGAGGATGAGGCTCCGATTACTCAGGCTATTCAGAAAGACGGAGAAAGTCGTAAGAAGCAAAAGGGACAAAACAAATCGATTAGCATTAAAAATTTGGCACCACACAAAAATGCAAAAAAGTCCTCCTCGCGGAGGAACTAATGATTATGACGTCATTTTTTGCGTGGAATACTCGCGGTTTCAACAAAATGCGCAAACATAAAAATGTTCCGTCTTGGCTTGCTACTTCAAAACCAACTTTCGGTTGTCTCTTAGAAACCAGGGTGATGGAGGAAAATAGTTCACAAATAATTTCCAGAGTGTTCCGGGGATGAGAATATGAAACTAACTACGACTATCATAGACTTGGCCGCATTTAACGTTACGGTGTTATTCAAGAGCCCACAAATGATCACGGTGGGTATTGAATCAGTTTGGGGTGAGAACTTTATATGCTCATGCATATATGCGTCTAATTTCAGAAATGATAGGGTCACTTTGTGGGAGGAGATCCGACACATACATACTCTATATGGCCACACAAATCTCCCCTGGATTGTATTGGGTGATTTTAATGTCATATTGTCTTCAGATGAGCACTCCAGAGTGCAATACGGACTGGGAAACCAAGCGGGAATGCGAGAATTTCAGGAGCTTGTCGCTGACTGCGAATTGACCGATCTCGGATACACGGGTCCGAAACTAACATGGTGGAATCACCAAGATGATGGTCCTATCGGCAAATGTCATTACTGAAGCTTACGCTTCTTTTGAAACCAATGGCATATCCGATCACGTACGTTGCACAATCAAGATGAGCTCCACAGACTCACAAGAGAAGGCATTTCCAATTCTTTAACTATCTTGTGGATCACCCTTTGTTTCTTGAAGCGGTCGCTCGGTGTTGGGATGAAACAGAGGAACTTTTCCATTCCAAGATAGCAATTTACAGATTTAGTAAGAAGCTGAATAAACTCAAACCTCTTTTGAGAGCTCTGCATAGAGACATATATGGTGATATAACTATGAGAACCAAAATTTCGCTTGATGTTCTCTGTGCAAGACAGAAGCAAGCGCTCGACAATCCTTGTGTTGCAACGTTTGAAGCGGAAGCAGAGGCAACTAGGCAGTGGAATCATTATGATGAG